TATCTCCTAGATTAATGGTGGGGGGTGTTCCAGGTTATGGGTGGGTTAGTAGCCCAATGGATGGGTGGGTTTGGAGCACCGAGGTGGATAGGTGGGTGTGAGCACCAACTGGATTGGGGGGTGTGGCAACAAGGTGGACGGGTGGGTGGGGTAGCAACAAAGGGGGATGGGTGGGTGTGTAAAAAAAGGCATGGTGGGTTTTTACAACAAAGTGGATGGGTGGGGTGTAGACCAAAGGGGGATAGGGGTGTGTGTACCCAATTGGTAGGAGGTGTGTAGCACCCGGCGGATGTTGGGGGTGTTGCACCAAGGGGATGGATGGGTGTTATCTCCTGATTAATGGGGGGGGTAAACCAAGGGGTTATGGGTGGGGGGAGTAGCACAAAGGGGGATGGGTGGGTTTGGACACCGGGGTGGATAGGTGGGTGTGACCAACAAAGGGGGATGGGTGGGGATATAGCACCAGGTGGATTTGTGGGGGTGTACTCAAAAGGGGAATCGGTGTGTGTTACCACCAAGGGGAGGATGGGTATTAGACCCAAATGAATGTGTGGGGGGTAGCACCAAGGTGGGTGGGTGGGGGGTGTACACAAGGTGGATGGGTGGGGTTTTTTCACTAATGTGGGGGGTGGGTTGTACACCTGGAGGGTGGGGTGTGTAGCACCAGGGGATTGGTGGGTTGGCTGCAAAGGTGGATGGGGGGGTGTGTAGCAGCAAGGTGGTTGGTGGGGGTTTTAGCACCCAAAGGGGGATGGGTGGGTGTGTACAGCAAGGGGGTAAGTGGGGGGGTTTTGCCCATGGTGGAAAGGGTGGGGTTTAGCACGAGGCGAATGGATGGGTGTTGCAGCAAGGTGGATGGGTGAGTGTGTAGCACCAATGGATGGGTGGGTGTGGCCCAAGGTGTATGGGGGGGGTGTAGCACAAAATGGATTTTTGGGGGGTGTAGCTCAAAAGGGGAAAGGTTTGGGTGTGTAGCACATGGTGTGGGCGGGTGTGTAGCACCAAGGTGGATCGGTGGGTGTGTAGACCAAGGGGAATGGGGGGTGTGTAGCACCTGGGGATGGGTGGGTGGTAGCACCAGGTGGATGGGGGGGTGTTAGCATAAGGGGGATGGGTTGGTGTGTCACCAAGGTCGATGGATAGATGTGTAGCACCAAGGTAGATAGGTGGGTGTGTAGTACCAAGGTGGATAGTTGGGTGTGTAGCACCAAGGTGGATGGGTGGGTGTGTAGCACCAAGGTTGATGGGTGGGTGTGTAGAACTAAGGTGGATGGTTTGGTGTGTAGCACCAAGGTGGATTGGTGGGTGTGCAGAACCAAGGTGGATTGGGGGTGTGGCAGCCCCCAAGGTGGGTGGGTGGAAATGTGTATACCAAGGGGGTTTGGGTTTGGGTTTGTGTAGCACCAAGGTGGATGGGTGGACGAGTGGTTGTGTAGCTCCAAGGTGGATGGTTGGGTGTGTAGCACCAAGGTGGATGGGTAGGTGTGTAGCACCAACGTGGATGGGTAGGTGTGTAGCACCAAGGTGGATGAGTGGATATGTAGCACCAAGATGGATTGGTGGGTGCGTTGCACGAAAGTGGATAGGTTGGTGTGTAACCCCAAGGTCGATGGATGGGTGTGCAGGACCAAGGTGGTTGAGTGGATGAGTAGCACCAAGATGGATTGGTGGGTATATTGCAACAAGGTGGATGGGTGACTGTGTTGCACCAATATGGATGGGTGGGTGTGTAGCAATAAGATGGATGGGTGGGTGTGTAGCAACAAGGTGGATGAGTGGGTGTGTAGCAACTAGGTGGATGGGTGGGTGTAGCAACAAGGTGGATGAGTGGGTGTGTAGCAACAAGGTGGATGGGTGGGTGTATAGCACCAAGGTGGATTTGTGGGTGTGTAGCACAAAGGTGAATGGGTTGGTGTGTACCACCAAGGTGGATGGATGGGGGTGTAGCACCAAGGTGGATGGGCGGGGTGTGTAGCCCAAGGTGGGGGTGGGTGTTAGCAACAAGGTGGATGGGTGGGTGTGTAGCACCAAGGGGGATTGGTGGGTGTGTAGCACCAAGGTGGATGGGTGGGTGTGTAGCACCAAGGTGTATGGGTGGGTGTGCAGCACCAAGGTGGATTGGTGGGTGTGTAGCAACAAGGTGGATGAGTGGGTGTGTAGCAACAAGGTGGATGGGTGGGTGTAGCAACAAGGTGGGTGAGTGGGTGTGTAGCAACAAGGTGGATGGGTGGGTGTCTAGCACCAAGGTGGATTTGTGGGTGTGTAGCACAAAGGTGAATGGGTGGGTGTGTATCACCAAGGTGGATGGGTATGTGTGTAGCACCAAGGTGGATGTTTGGGGGTGGAGCACCAAGGTGGATGGGCGGATGTGTAGCACCAAGGTGGGTGGGTGTGTAGCAACTAGGTGGAAGGGTGGGTGTGTAACACCAAGGTGGATGGGTGGGTGTATAGCACCAAGGTGGGTGGGTGTGTAGCACCAAGGTGTATGGGTGGGTGTGTAGCACCAAGGGGGATTGGTGGGTGTGTAGCACCAAGGTGGATGGGTGGGTGTGTAGCACCAAGGTGTATGGGTGGGTGTGCAGCACCAAGGTGGATTGGTGGGTGTGTAGCAACAAGGTGGACGAGTGGGTGTGTAGCAACAAGGCGGTTGGGTGGGTGTAGCAACAAGGTGGATGAGTGGGTGTGTAGCAACAAGGTGGATGGGTGGGTGTATAGCACCAAGGTGGATTTGTGGGTGTGTAGCAAAAAGGTGAATGGGTGGGTGTGTACCACCAAGGTGGATGGGTATGTGTGTAGCACCAAGGCGGATGTTTGGGGGTGGAGCACCAAGGTGAATGGGTGGGTGTGTAGCACCAAGGTGTATGGGTGGGTGTGTAGCAGCAAGGTGGATGGGTGGGTGTGTAGCACCAATGTGGATGTGTGGGTGTAGCAGCAAGGTGGATAAGTGGGTGTGTAGCACCATGGTGGATGGGTGGGTGTGTAGCAGCCAGGCGAATGGATGAGTGTGTAGCAGCAAGGTGGATGGGTGAGTGTTTAGCACCAAGGTGGATGGGTGGGTGTGTAGCACCAAGGTGTATGGGTGGGTGTGTAGCACCAAGCTGGATGTGTGGGTGTGTAGCTCAAAGGTGAATGGTTGGGTGTGTAGCACCATGGTGGATGGGCGGGTGTTTAGCACCAAGGTGGATCGGTGGGTGTGTAGCACCAAGGTGAATGGGTGGGTGTGTAGCACCATGGTGGATGGGTGGGTGTGTAGCACCAAGATGGATTGGTGGGTGCGTTGCACGAAAGTGGATAGGTTGGTGAGTAACCCCAATGTCGATGGGTGGGTGTGTAGGACCAAGGTGGTTGAGTAGATGTATAGCACCAAGATGGATTGGTGGGTATATTGCAACAAGGTGGATGGGTGACTGTGTTGCACCAATATGGATGGGTGGGTGTGTAGCAACAAGATGGATGGGTGGGTGTGTAGCAACAAGGTGAATGAGTGGGTGTGTAGCAACTAGGTGGATGGGTGGGTGTAGCAACAAGGTGGATGAGTGGGTGTGTAGCAACAAGGTGGATGGGTGGGTGTATAGCACCAAGGTGGATTTGTGGGTGTGTAGCACAAAGGTGAATGGGTGGGTGTGTACCACCAAGGTGGATGGATGGGGGTGTAGCACCAAGGTGGATGGGCGGGTGTGTAGCACCAAGGTGGGTGGGTGTGTAGCAACAAGGTGGATGGGTGGGTGTGTAACACCAAGGTGGATGGGTGGGTGTATAGCACCAAGGTGGGTGGTGGGTGTATAGCAGCAAGTTGGATGGGTGGGTGTGTTAGCACCAAGGTGTATGGGTGGGGTGAAAGCACCAAGGGGATTGGTGGGTGTGTAGCACCAAGGGGGGGTGGGTGTGTGGGCACCAAGGTGTATGGGTGGGTGTGCAGCACCAAGGTGGATTGGTGGGTGTGTAGCAACAAGGTGGATGAGTGGGTGTGTAGCAAAAAGGTGGATGGATGGGTGTAGCAACAAGGTGGATGAGTGGGTGTGTAGCAACAAGGAACAAGGTGGATGGGTGGGTGTATAGCACCAAGGTGGATTTGTGGGTGTGTAGCACAAAGGTGAATGGGTGGGTGTGTACCCCCAAGGTGGATGGGTATGTGTTTTAGCACCAAGGTGGATGTTTGGGGGTGGAGCACCAAGGTGGATGGGCGGGTGTGTAGCACCAAGGTGGGTGGGTGTGTAGCAACAAGGTGGATGGGTGGGTGTGTAACACCAATGTGGATGGGTGGGTGTATAGCACCAAGGTGGGTGGGTGTGTAGCACCAAGGTGGATGGGTGGGTGTGTAGCACAAAGGTGGATGGGTGGGTGTGTAGCAGCAAGTTGGATGGGTGGGTGTGTAGCACCAAAATGTATGGGTGGGTGTGTAGCACCAAGGTGGGTTGGTGGGTGTGTATCACCAAGGTGGATGGGTGGGTGGGTAGCACGAAGGTGAATGGGTGGGTTTGCAGCACTAAGGTGGATGGGTGGGTGTGTAGCACCAGGGTGAATGGGTTGGTGTGTAGCACCAAGGTGGGCTGGGAGTGTGTAGCACCAAGGTGGGTGGGTGGATGTGTACCACGAAGGTGGATTGGTGGGTGTGTAGCACCGAGGTGGATTGGAGGTTGTGTAGGACAAAGGTGGATGGGTGTGTGGATAGCTCCAAGGTGGATGGTTTGGTGTGTAGCACCAAGGATGATGGGTGGGTGTGTAGCACCAAGGTGGATGGTTTGGTGTGTAGCACCAAGGTTGATGGGTGGGTGTGTAGCACCAAGATGGATTGGTGGGTATATTGCAACAAGGTGGATGGGTGACTGTGTTGCACCAAGATTGATGGGTGGGTGTGTAGCAGCAAGGTGGATGGGTGGGTGTGTAGCACCAAGGTGGATGGGTGGGTGTGTAGCACCAAGGTGTATGGGTTGTTGTGTAGCACCAAGCTGGATATGTGGGTGTGTAGCTCAAAGGTGAATGGTTGGGTGTGTAGCACCATGGTGGATGGGCGGATGTGTAGCACCAAGGTGGATCGGTGGGTGTGTAGCACCAAGGTGAGTGGGTGGGTGTGTAGCACCATGGTGGATGGGTGGGTGTGTAGCACCATGGTGGATGGGTGGGTGTGTAGCACTAAGGTGGATGGTTGGGTGTGCAGCACCAAGGTGGATGGATAGATGTGTAGCACCAATTTAGATGGGTGGGTGTGTAGTACCAAGGTGGATAGTTGGGTGTGTAGTACCAAGGTTGATGGGTGGGTGTGTAGCACTAAGGTGGATGGTTGGGTGTGTAGCACCAAGGTGGATTGGTGGGTGTGCAGCACCAAGGTGGATTGGTGGGTGTGCAGCACCAATCGTGGGTGGGTGGATGTGTACCACCAAGGCGGATTGGTTGGTGTGTAGCACCAAGGTGGATGGGTGGACGGGTGGGTGTGTAGCTCCAAGGTGGATGGTTGGGTGTGTAGCACCAAGGTGGATGGGTAGGTGTGTAGCACCAACGTGGATGGGTAGGTGTGTAGCACCAAGGTGGATGGGTTGGTGTGTAGCAACAAGGTTGATGAGTGGGTGTGTAGCAACTAGGTGGATGAATGGGTGTAGCAATAAGGTGGATGAGTGGGTGTGTAGCAACAAGGTGGATGGGTGGGTGTATAGCACCAAGGTGGATTTGTGGGTGTGTAGCACAAAGGTGAATGGGTGGGTGTGTACCACCAAGGTGGATGGATGGGGGTGTAGCACCAAGGTGGATGGGCGGGTGTGTAGCACCAAGGTGGGTGGGTGTGTAGCAACAAGGTGGATGGGTGGGTGTGTAACACCAAGGTGGATGGGTGGGTGTATAGCACCAAGGTGGGTGGTGGGTGTATAGCAGCAAGTTGGATGGGTGGGTGTGTAGCACCAAGGTGTATGGGTGGGTGTGTAGCACCAAGGGGGATTGGTGGGTGTGTAGCACCAAGGTGGATGGGTGGGTGTGTAGCACAAAGGTGTATGGGTGGGTGTTCAGCACCAAGGTGGATTGATGGGTGTGTAGCAACAAGGTGGATGAGTGGGTGTGTAGCAACAAGGTGGATGGATGGGTGTAGCAACAAGGTGGATGAGTGGGTGTGTAGCAACAAGGTGGATGGTTGGGTGTATAGCACCAAGGTGGATTTGTGGGTGTGTAGCACAAAGGTGAATGGGTGGGTGTGTACCACCAAGGTGGATGGGTATGTGTGTAGCACCAAGGTGGATGTTTGGGGGTGGAGCACCAAGGTGGATGGGCGGGTGTGTAGCACCAAGGTGGGTGGGTGTGTATCAACAAGGTGGATGGGTGGGTGTGTAACACCAAGGTGGATGGGTGGGTGTATAGCACCAAGGTGGGTGGGTGTGTAGCACCAAGGTGGATGGGTGGGTGTGTAGCACAAAAGTGGATGGGTGGGTGTGTAGCAGCAAGTTGGATGGGTGTGTGTGTAGCACCAAGGTGTATGGGTGGGTGTGTAGCACCAAGGTGGGTTGGTGGGTGTGTAGCACCAAGGTGGATGGGTGGGTGTGTTGCACGAAGGTGAATGGGTGGGTTTGCAGCACTAAGGTGGATGGGTGGGTGTGTAGCACCAAGGTGAGTGGGTGGGTGTGTAGCACCAAGGTGGGTTGGGAGTGTGCAGCACCAAGGTGGGTGGGTGGATGTGTACCACGAAGGTGGATTGGTGGGTGTGTAGCACCAAGGTGGATTGGAGGTTGTGTAGGACAAAGGTGGATGAGTGTGTGGATAGCTCCAAGGTTGTTGGGTTGGTGTGTAGCACCAAGGTGGATGGTTGGGTGTGTAGCACCAAGGTTGATGGGTGGGTGTGTAGCACCAAGATGGATTGGTGGGTATATTGCAACAAGGTGGATGGGTGACTGTGTTGCACCAAGATTGATGGGTGGGTGTGTAGCAGCAAGGTGGATGGTTGGGTGTTTAGCACCAAGGTGGATGGGTGGGTGTGTAGCGCCAAGGTGGATGGATGGGTAACACCTAGATTAATTGGTGGGTGTGTAGTACCAAGGTGTATGGGTGGGTGTGTAGCACCAAGGTGGATGGGTGGGTGTGGAGCACCAAGGTGGATGGTTGGTGTGTAGCACCAAGGTGGATGGGTGCGTGAGTAGCACCAAGGTGAATGTGTGGGTGTGTAGCACCAAGGTGGATGGGTGGGTGTGCAGCAACAAGGTTGATGGGTGGGTGTGTAGCAACAAGGTGGATGGGTGGGTGTGTAGCAACAAGGTGGATGGGTGGGTGTATAACACCAAGGAGGATTTTTGGGTGTGTAGCACAAAGGTGAATGGGTGGGTGTGTACCACCAAGGTTGATTGGTGGGTGTGTAGCACCAAGGTGGATGGGTGGGTGTGTAGCACCAAGGTGGATGGGCGGGTGTGTAGCACCAAGGTGGGTGGGTGTGTAGCAACAAGGTGGACGGGTGGGTGTGTAACACCAAGGTGGATGGGAGAGTGTATAGCACCAAGGTGTGTGGGTGTGTAGCACCAAGGTGGATGGGTGGGTGTGTAGCACCATGGTGTATGGGTGGGTGTGTAGCACCAAGGTGGATGGGTGGGTGTGTACCGCCAAGGTGGATGGATGGGTGTGTAACACCTAGATTAATGGGTGGGTGTGTAGTACCAAGGTGTATGGGTGGGTGTGTAGCTCCAAGGTTTATGGGTGGGTGTGGAGCACCAATGTGGATGGGTAGGTATGTAGGACCAAGGTGGATGGGTGAGTGTGAAGCACCAAGGTGGATGTGTGGGTGTGTAGCACCGAGGTGGATGGGTGGGTGTGTAGCAACTAGGTGTATGGGTGGGTGTGTAGCAACAAGGTGGATGGGTGGGTGTGTAGCAACAAGGTGGATGGGTGGGTGTGTAGCACAAAGGTGAATGGGTTGGTGTGTACCACCAAGGTGGATTGGTGGGTGTGTAGCACCAAGGTGGATGGGTGGGTGTGTAGCACCAAGGTGGATGGGCGGGTGTGTATCACTAAGGTGGGTTGGTGTGTAGCAACAAGTTAGATGGGTGGGTGTGTAGCACGAAAGTGTATGGGTGGGTGTGTAGCACCAATGTGGATTGGTGGGTGTGTAGCACCAAGGTGGATGTGTGGGTGTGTAGCAGCAAGGTGGATGGGTGGGTGCGTAGCACCAAGGTGGATCTGTGGGTGTGAAGCACCATGGTGGATGGGTGGGTGTGTAGCAGCAATGTGGATGGGTGGGTGTGTAGCACCAAGGTCGATGGGTGGGTGTGAAACCCCAAGGTGGATGGATGGGTGTGTTGCACCAATGTCGATGGGTGGTTGTGTAGCAACATGGTGGATGGGTGGGTGTGTAGCACCAAGGTGGATGGATGGGTGTGAAACCCCAAGGTGGATGGGTGGGTGTGTAGCAGCAATGTGGATGGGTGGGTGTGTAGCACCAAGGTCGATGGGTGGGTGTGAAACCCCAAGGTGGATGGATGGGTGTGTTGCACCAATGTCGATGGGTGGTTGTGTAGCAACATGGTGGATGGGTGGGTGTGTAGCACAAAGGTGGATGGATGGGAGTGAAACCCCAAGGTGGATGGGTGGGTGTGTTGCCCCAATGTCGATGGGTGGGTGTGTAGCAACAAGGTGTATGGGTGGGTGTGTACCACCAAATTGGATTGTTGGGTGTGTAGCACCAAGGTGGATAGGTGGGTGTGTAGCACCAAGGTGGATGGGCGGGTGTGTATCACTAAGGTGGGTTGGTGTGTAGCAACAAGGTGGATGGGTGGGTGTATAGCACCAAGGTGGGTGGGTGTGTAGCAGCAAGGTGGATGGGTGGGTGTGTAGCACCAAGGTGGATGGGTGGGTGCATAGCACCAAGTTAGATGGGTGGGTGTGTAACACCAAAGTGTATGGGTGGGTGTGTAGCACCAAGGTGGATTGGTGGGTGTGTAGCACTAATGTGGATGGGTGGGTGTGTAGCAGCAAGGTGGATGGGTGGGTGCGTAGCACCAAGGTGGATCTGTGGGTGTGAAGCACCAAGGTGGATGGGTGGGTGTGTAGCAGCAAGGTCGATAGGTGGGTGTGAAACCCCAAGGTGGATGGATGGATGTGTAGCATCAAGGTGGATGGGTAGGTGTGTAGCACTAAGGTGGATGGTTGGGTGTGTAGCGCTAAGGTGGATGGTTGGGTGTGTAGCACGAAGGTGGATGGATGGGTGTGTAGCACCAAAGTGGATGGGTGGGTTTGTAGCAGCAAGGTGGATGGGTGGGTGTGTAGCACCAAGGTTGATGAGTGGGTGTGTAGCACCAATATGGATAGTTGGGTGTGTAGCACCAAGGTGGATGGGTGGGTGTGTAGCACCATTATGGATAGTTGGGTGTGTAGCACCAAGGTGGATGGGTGGGTGTGTAGCACCAAGGTGGATGGTTGGCTGTGTATCGGGAAGGTGGATGGGTGGGTGTGTAGCTCGAAGTTGGATGGGTGGGTGAGTAGCACCAAGGTGGATGGGTGGGTGTGTAGCACCAATGTGGGTGGGTGGGTGTGTAGCACTAAGGTGGATGGGTGGGTGTGTAGCACAAGGGTGGATGGGTGGGTGTGTAGCACCAAGGTGGATTGGTGGGTGTTCAGCACCAAGGTGGTTGGGTGGATGTGTACCACCAAGGTGGATTTGTGGGTGTGTAGCACCAAGGTGGATGGGTGTGTGGATAGCACCAAGGTTGTTGGGTGGGTGTGTAGCACCAAAGTGGATGCGTAGGTGTGTAGCACCAAGGTGGATGTGTGGGTGTGTAGCACCAATGTGGATGAGTGGATATGTAGCACCAAGATGGATTGGTGGGTGCGTTGCACCAAGGTGGATTGGTTGGTGTGTAGCCCCAAGGTTGATGTGTGGGTGTGTAGGACCAAGGTGGATGAGTGGATGTGTAGCACCAAGATGGATTGGTGGGCGTGTTGCACTAAGGTGGATGTTTTGGTGTGTAGAACCAAGGTCGATGGGTGGGTGTGTAGGACCAAGGTGGATGAGTGGATGTGTAGCACCAAGATGGATTGGTGGGTACATTGCTCCAAGGTGGATGTGTGAGTGCGTAGCACCAAGATGGATGTGTGACTGTAGCAGCAAGGTGGATGGGTGGGTGTGTAGCTCCAAGGTGGATGTTTGGATGTGTAGCACTAAGGTTGATGGGTGGGTGTGTAGTACCAAGGTGGATGGGTGGGTGTGTAGCAGAAAGGTGGATGGGTGGGTGTGTAGCAACAAGGTGGATTTGTGGGTGTGTAGCAACAATGTGGATGAGTGGGTTTGTAGCAACAAGGTGGATGGGTGGGTGTGTAGCTCCAAGGTGGATTGGTGGGTGTGTACCACCAAGGTGCATGGGTGGGTGTGTAGCACCAATTTGGATGGGCGGGTGTGGAGCACCAAGGTGGGTGGGTGTGTAGCAACAAGGTGGATGGGTGGGTGTGTAACACCAATGTGGATGGGTAGGTGTATAACATAAAGGTGGGTGGGTGTGTAGCACCAAGGTGGATGGGTGGGTGTGTAGCACCAAGGTGGATGGGTGGGTGTGTAGCACCGAGTTGGATGGGTGGGTGTGTAGCACCAAGGTGTATGGGTGGGTGTGTACCACCAAGGTGGATTGGTGGGTGTGTAGCACCAAGGTGGATGGGTGGGTGTGTAACAGCAAGGTGGATTGGTGGGTGTGTAGCAGCAAGGTTGATGGGTGGGTGTGTAGCACCAAGGTCGATGGGTGGGTGTGTACCACCAAGGTGAATGGATGGGTGTGAAGCACCAAGTTGGATGGATGGGTGTGTAGCACTAAGGTGGATAGATGGGTGTGTAACACGAAGGTTGATGGATGGGTGTGTAGCACCAAGGTGGATGGGTGGGGTGTGTAGCACCATGGTGGATGGGTGGGGTTTGTAGCAGGAAGGTGGATGGGTGGGTGTGTAGCAGGAAGGTGGATGGGTGGGTGTGTAGCACCAAGGGGAGTGATTGGTGGGTGTGTAGCAGGAAGGTGGATTGGTGGGTGTTTAGCAAGTAGGTGGATGGGTGGGTTTGTAGCTACAAGGTGGATGGGTGGGTGTGTAGCAGCAAGGTGGATGGGTGGGTGTGTAGCAGGAAGGTGGATGGGTGGGTGTGTAGCAGGAAGGTGGATGGGTGGGTGTGTAGCACCAAGGGGAGTGATGGGTGGGTGTGTAGCAGGAAGGTGGATTGGTGGGTGTGTAGCAGGAAGGTGGATGGGTGGGTGTGTAGCAGGAAGGTGGATGGGTGGGTGTGTAGCACCAAGGGGAGTGATGGGTGGCTTTGTAGCTACAAGGTGGATGGGTGGGTGTGTGGCACCAAGGTGGATTGGTGGGTGTGTAACACCAAGGTGGATGGGTGGGTGTGTAGCACCAAGGTTGATGGGCGGGTGTGTAGTACCAAGGTTGATGGGTTGGTGTGTAGCAGCAATGGGCGTGATGGGTGGGTGTGTAGCACCTAGGGGCGTGATGGGTGGATGTGTAGCACCTAGGGGCGTGATGATAGGTAAAAAAAAGGGGGAAGGTCAGGGGGAACTTTCACCTTCTTTTCTATGAGGATATATAGTGAGCAGCAGCGTCCTGGGACACTAGTTCACTACTCGCACTCTGTACACTCGACATGAAGGTGTGTGTGTGTGTGTGTGTGTGTGTGTGTGTGTGTGTGTGTGTGTGTGTGTGTGTGTGTGTGTGTGTGTGTGTGTGTGTGTGTGTGTGTGTGTTTGTGTGTGTGTGCCAACGATCACTGGTTGATAGAGAGAGAGAGAGAGAGAATGAGAGAGAGAGAGAGAGGTCAACAAGCTAGTGTCTATCAACACATAACATACGTCTTATCACCATCAACTTTCCTTTGAAGTGATTGTTTCTTCATTATAGTTTTTCCCTCAGGTGGTGTCAATGACGGTGGTGTTGGTGATGGTGTTGGTGATGGTGATAGTGATGGTGATGGTGGCTGAGGCAGCCAATGTCAGGACTACTGACGCTAGCGCCCAGACACACCCAGACGTGAGTGTTTACCTCAGTTCCTATATTTTCCGTTTTTCTTATCCTCCTTCCTTCTTTCTGTCTGACTTACTATGTGCTACTAACTTATGTAACTTAATTGTTTGTCAGTATTTTCGTCGGTTTCTGTGATAATTTTATACATGTTTCATCACGTTACTGAACTCCAGGAAATTTTTCGTTGGAGTCATTTAATATTAAATATTTAATGTTTTTAATTCAGTTCAAGCGGAATATTTCAAGTTAGAGTATTTGTTTACCATGTTCTTGCTAATGAGTTTTTAATGTGTTAGAGTTGCAATATGAGAGTATGTGTGAATGTATCTTTTTATTTGATAAGACCGTAGCTGAAATAACTTACTGGTTTCAGCGTCCGGACAATATCTGAACTTCCTTGCTTCTCCTTCCCTTCCCTCTCTGCTTTTTCTCTTCCTACTTACCCTCTTCTCTTTTCCCCCTCCTTCTCTTCCCTCTTCCGGTTCCAATAACTCCCTCCCCCCTTCTATCTTCTCCCCTGCCTGGTGTGTCTCCGTCTCCTCTATGTAATCAACTCTCTGGGCACATAAATGTCTGTTTGAAGGAGCACGAAAAATTTGCATCTTTCTGTTACAAAAATATCAGTCATTTGATACAGGTTTTGTCGGACTCATTAACATATTTTTTTCTAATAGCATTTTCTTAGTTTAATTGATCTGACAATTCTAATTACCTGATAATCCTCTCTACAAAAGTCTCTCTTAATAATCTGTGCCGATAACTCTTCGTAATACACAAGTACAACATCTGTTTATCCTTATTTATGACGATGTTTTGTATACCACGATCTGTTTTACTGAAAGTAGACCCTGGTGGGCGAAACGTCTTCATAATGAAGACAAACAGGTGTTGCACATGAGTCTTGATGAATTAGATACTTGTACAACACTTGCGTGCTTTTACTGTGGCAATGTTTCGCCAACCAGTGGTTTCCTTAGTCCAATACAGAGAAGAAATGTTGAAGATATTATCAGTCACTAAGCCTGAGGGAATGATTATCTCAAACTCCTTCTGATGTTCAACCATTCTTCTCTGTATTGAACTGAGGAAATCGTTGGATGGTGAAACGTTTCCACGATTAAGATTCGCAAGTGTTGCACATGTGTACACGTCACCAATCTTTCGTTCTCTGAACCAATTATCTACACATATGTTATATTCATTCGCTTGTTGGTGTTGTTTACCAGTAATGTAACAGTAAATGTGGTTGATGGTGCAGGTTCCTGCCGTCTACAACTACAAGTATGGTGTTCTGGACGAGGAGTCTGCCACTGACTTCGGCCACGAAGAGACTCGTGACCACGACGCCACCAGTGGTCGCTACTACGTGCTACTCCCTGACGGACGAGTCCAGACAGTGCTGTATTCAGTCGAAGGTGACGACGGTTTTGTTGCCGATGTTTCTTACGCTAAACGTCGCCGCTGAGATACTCCTCGTGTGTGTGTGTGTGCGTGTGTGTGTGTGTGTGTGTATGTGTGTGTGTGTGTGTGTGTGTGTGTGTGTGTGTGTGTGTGTGTGTGTGTGTGTGGTGTGTGTGTGTGTGTTGTGTGTGTGTGTGTGTGTATGTGGGTGTGTAGGGTAAAGAGGCGCTCAACACTAGCGTGGAAAGGCACTCAGCACTAGTGTGGAGAGGCACATAGCACTAGTGTGGAGAGGCACCCAACACTAGTGTGGAGAGGCACTCAACACTAGTGTGGAGAAGCACTCAACACTAGTGCGGAAAAGCACTTAACACTAGTGTTGAGAGGCACTCAACACTAGGGTGGAGAGGCACTCAACACTAGAGTAGAGAGGCACTCAACACAAGAGTGGAGAGGCACTCAACACTAGAGTGGAGAGGCACGCAACACTATTGAGGAGAGGCACTCAACACTAGTGTGGAGAGGCACTCAACACTAGAGCAGAGAGGCACTCAACACTAAAGTGGAGAGGTACTCAACACTAGAGTGGATAGATACTCAATACTAGAGTGGAGAGGCACTCAACACTAGAGTAGAGAGGTACTCAACACTAATGTGGAGAGGCAATCAACACTAGTGTGGAGAGGCACTCAACACTAGAGCAGAAAGGCACTCAACACTAAAGTGGAGAGGTACTCAACACTAGAGTGGAGAGATACTCAACACTAGAGTGGAGAGGCACTCAACACTAGAGTGGAGAAGTATTCAACACTAGAGTGGAGAGGCACTCAACACTAGAGTAGAGAGGTACTCAACACTAGAGTGGAGAGACACTCAACACTAGAGTGGAGAGTTACTCAACACTAGAGTAGAGAGGCACTCAAAACTAGAGTAGAGAGGCACTCAACACTAGAGAAGAGAGGCACTCAACACTAGAGTGGAGAGGCACTCAACGCTAGAGTGGAGAGGCACTCAATACTTGAGTACAGAGACACTCAGCACTAGAGTGGAGAGGCACTCAACACTAGAGTGGAGAGGCACTCAACACTAGAGTGGAGAGGCACTCAACACTAGTGCGGAGAAGCACTCAATACTAGTGTTGAGAGGCACTCAACACTAGTGTGGAGAGGCACTCAACACTAGAGTGGAGAGGCACTCAACACTAGTGTGGAGAGGCACTCAACACTAAAGTGGAGAGGCACTCAACACTAGAGTGGAGAGGCACTCAACACTAGAGAGGAGAGGCACTCAACACTAGAGTGGAGAGGCACTCAACACTAGTGTGGAGAGGCACTCAACACTAGAGTGGAGAGGCACTCAACACTAGAGTGGAGAGGCACTCAACACTAGAGTGGAGAGGCACTCAACACTAGAGTGGAGAGGCACTCAACACTAGAGTGGAGAGGCACTCAACACTAGAGTGGAGAGGCACTCAACACTAGAGTGGAGAGGGACTCAACACTAGAGTGGAGAGGCACTCAAAACTAGTGTGAGAGGCACTCAACACTAAAGTGGAGAGGCACTCAACACTAGAGTGGAGAGGCACTCAACACTAGAGAGGAGAGGCACTCAACACTAGAGTGGAGAGGCACTCAAACACTAGTGTGGAGAGGCACTCAACACTAGAGTGGAGAGGCACTCAACACTAGAGTGGAGAGGCACTCAACACTAGAGTGGAGAGGCACTCAACACTAGAGTGGAGAGGCACTCAACACTAGAGTGGAGAGGCACTCAACAACTAGAGTGGAGAGGCACTCAACACTAGAGTGGAGAGGCACTCAACACTAGAGTGGAGAGGCACTCAACACTAGAGTGGAGAGGCACTCAACACTAGAGTGGAGAGGCACTCAACACTAGAGTGGAGAGGCACTCAACACTAGAGTGGAGAGGCACTCAACACTAGTGTGGAGAGGCACTCAACACTAGAGTGGAGAGGCACTCAACACTAGTGTGGAGAGGCACTCAACACTAGAGTGGAGAGGCACTCAACACTAGAGTGGAGAGGCACTCAAAAACTAGTGTGGAGAGGGACTCAACACTAGTGTGGAGAGGCATTCAACACTAGAGAGGAGAGAGCACTCAACACAAGAGTGGAGAGGCACTCAACACTAGAGTGGAGAGGCACTCAACACTAGAGTGGAGAGGCACTCAACACTAGTGTGGAGAGGCACTCACACACTAGAGTGGAGAGGCACTCAACACTAGTGTGGAGAGGCACTCAACACTAGTGTGGAGAGGAACTCACACTAGTGTGGAGAGGCACTCAACACTAGAGTGGAGAGGCACTCAACACTAGTGTGGAGAGGCACTCAACACTAGTGTGGAGAGGCACTCAACACTAGTGTGGAGAGGCACTCAACACTAGTGTGGAGAGGCACTCAACACTAGTGTGGAGGAGGCACATCAACACTAGTGTGGAGAGGCACTCAACACTAGTGTGGAGAGGCACTCAACACTAGGTGGAGAGGCACTCAACACTAGTGTGGAGAGGCACTCAACACTAGTGTGGAGAGGCACTCAACACTAAGTGTGGAGAGGCACTCAACACTAGTGTGGAGAGGCACTCAACACTAGTGTGGAGAGGCACTCAACACTAGTGTGGAGAGGCACTCAACACTAGTGTGGAGAGGCACTCAACACTAGTGTGGAGAGGCACTAGAGTGGAGAGGCACTCAACACTAGTGTGGAGAGGCACTCAACACTAGAGTGGAGAGGCACTCAACACTAGTGTGGAGAGGCACTCAACACTAGAGTGGAGAGGCACTCAACACTAGAGTGGAGAGGCACTCAACACTAGAGTGGAGAGGCACTCAACACTAGAGAGGAGAGGCACTCAACACTAGTGTGGAGAGGCACTCAACACTAGTGTGGAGAGGCACTCAACACTAGAGTGAGAGGCACTCAACACAGTGTGGAGAGGCACTCAACACTAGAGTGGAGAGGCACTCAACACTAGTGTGGAGAGGCACTCAACACTAGTGTGGAGAGGCACTCAACACTAGATGGAGAGGCACTCAACACTAGAGTGGGGAGGCACTCAACACTAGAGTGGAGAGGCACTCAACACTAGAGTGGAGAGGCACTCAACACTAGAGTGAGAGGCACTCAACACTAGAGTGGGAGAAGGCACTCAACACTAGAGTGGAGAGGCACTCAACACTAGAGTGGAGAGGCACTCAACACTAGTGTGGAGAGGCACTCAACACTATTGTGGAGAGGCACTCAACACTAGAGTGGAGAGGCACTCAACACTAGAGTGGAGAGGCACTCAACACTAGAGTGGAGAGGCACTGAACACAAGAGTGAGAGGCACTCAACACTAGAGTGGAGAGGCACTCAACACTAGAGTGGAGAGGCACTCAACACTAGAGTGGAGAGGCACTCAACACTAGTGTGGAGAGGCACTCAACACTAGAGTGGAGAGGCACTCAACACTAGAGTGGAGAGGCACTCAACACTAGAGTGGAGAGGGACTCAACACTAGTGTGGAGAGGCACTCAACACTAGTGTGGGGAAAGGGACTCAACACTAGAGTGGAGAGGCACTCAACACTAGAGTGGAGGAGGCACTCAACACTAGAGTGGAGAGGCACTCAACACTAGAGTGGAGAGGCACTCAACACTAGAGTGGAGAGGCACTGAACACAAGAGTGGAGAGGCACTCAACACTAGAGTGGAGAGGCACTCATACACTAGAGTGGAGAGGCACTCAACACTAGAGTGGGGAGGCACTCAACACTAGAGTGGAGAGGCACTCAACACTAGAGTGGAGAGGCACTCAACACTAGAGTGGGGAGGCCCCCAAAACACTAGTGTGGAGGGGCACTAAAAAACACTAAGGGGGGAAAACACTCAACCCCAAAGAGTGGAGAGGCACTCAACAAAGAGGGGAGAGGCACTCAACACAAGATGGAGACACTCAACACAAAGGGGAAAGGGGTCCTCAACACTAAAGGGGAAAAGGACTCAACACTAGAGGGAAAACCCCCACCCCAACACTATGGAAAAACCCACATGCCCATCCTGAAATTGTTTTAACAAAAAATTGATGTAAATTTTAGAATTGGGGAACTAAACATTTTAAAATTAACAATTAAAAATTTTAACAATTAAAAATTTAAAACAATTAAAAAATTAAAAATTTAAACTTTTTAAATTGACAAGATTTTAAAAAAAAAATTTAATTTTTTTTAATTTGATTTAACTAACTAATAATTTTTAATTTTTTAAGTTTTAAACTTTCCATAAGCTTCAAGATGAAAAAAACAAAATTATTAAAAATTTTCCCAATTTCTTCATCCATCACAAAAAAACGCTGGAAAAATTTTTTTTCTAGAACACTGAAAATTTTTGTGGCAAATTTATTGATATTATGAAATTAAAATACAAAGAGGCCCACTTTTTTAAATAATTTTTCCGGGACTGCATTTTAAACTCGAAATAAAACTTCCTGGCCTGCTAGTGAACCGCATTTAATTTTCCCCTGGCCTCTAGGGTACTCGCATATAATCTCCTGGCCTGCTAGGTTCTCGCATTTTAATTTTCCGGGCCTGCTAGGAAATTTTCGCAAATAATCTTCCTAGCCGCAATTGTACTCGCATTTTAAACTTCCGGGCCCTCTATGTACTCGCATAAAATCTTCCGGGCCCTGCTAGTGTACCGCATATAACTTCCGGGCCTCCCTATGTCTCGCATAAAAAACCTTCCGGGCCTCCTAGTGTACTCCATAAATTTTTTCCAAGCCGGGCATTTGTACTCGCAAAAAACATCCTGGCCTGCTAGTGTACTGGGAAATATAATTTTCCGGGACTCTAGTGTACTCGCAAATAATTTTCCTACCTCTAGTGTACTCGCTTATAATTTTTGGGGGCCCTGCTAGTTACCCCGCATAAATTTTCCCTTTAGCCGGGCAGTTTTACCCCGCAATAATTTTCCCCGGCCCTTTCTAATTGTACTCGCATAAAAATCTTCCTGGACTCTATGTATTTGGGCATATAATTTTCCCCGGGCCCCTGCATGAATTTCGCATAAAATC